TCTCTGGTGGTTTAAGAAGCGGTCTTTTACTTTACTTTAGCGTGAAAACCATCCATTGTTTCCTCAATATTCGTGCCATTTTTGATGCGCGCAGCTTCACGCTCCTGCTGACGCGGCGAGTATAAACCAGGCTCTACAAGCGCTGCGCAGTTCAAACGAGTTGCCGTTTGATGTTTCTCATATGCAACAGAAATGGCAGCACTTATGAGTTGAACAACGCGGTGGTCGCGCCAGTGCGACCGCTCACAAAATTTAGTCACACAGGCAGAAAAAATGGTCGCAATCTGGAGTCCTGCAATTAATAATAAATATAACCAAAACAGGTTATTATTATTATTTTTATATGAATAATAAAATAAATATAAGGAAAACTCGCCCACTCGATTTTGTAATATTCTTTTATTTTGTAGTCCGTATGAAAAGTTGCATTTCTATTAACGGCACGTCCATGTGGAGATGGCGAGTCAGCGTCGGCATTTGGCAACTTAATCTTTGCACCCGACACTGACTCAGAAAGCACTAGTTTATTAATAAATAATTAAAATGTCTTCTTTTCCCCCGACACGTTCATAATCACTTTGCCGGTGCTTTGAGGCAATTGCTTTAAGCGCGAGCTTGAGCGCGGAATAGGCTATAGCCTAATACGCCTGCCTAGCTTATATATTAAAGGATGGTTAATATATTATATTAATCAATTTAATATAACGTGCGATTAGAAAAATCTTTAGTCGGGGGCAGGCCTACTTAGCACAAGGAAGCGCTCCATTTTTTAAATAAAATGCTATAATGACATTACGAAAAGTGCGACAGCTGCAAATCACGTCGTTATTGCATTGCACGAGATATGCATGTGTAAGGAGTCAAAAAATTTTTTTGTTTCTTTGTTTATTATCATCTTAATGATTAAATACAATAGGCTATAGCATGTATATAATTGATTCCAGGAAGAAAATCTGTGGGGGTGCTATGGGGGTGCTTTTGTCTTTCTTGGAGGTGCTGAAGCACCTGCTAGCCCCTCCCTAATGCCGCCCATGCAGCCAAGTGCTAAGACCCATGATTTTATCATATTGATTACATGATCAATGTCCTACTACTGAGAGAGAATTTGTCGAGAGGAATCGAGGTGTTTATGTTTGAAAACAGGGAGTTATGCGGAGCTGACAGATCGATTAGAAGGCGTTTCTTACCTAAGAATTTCCTACTAGCCACTCCAATGGGCTAATGTGAAACTGAGAAGGCGGGGCATAGAAAGGGCTGATCATGAACCCTCGTTTAATTCACGCTGCCTATGGGTGAAAAACTGAACAGATTATTTCTGTGAAACGGCTGAACGTAATGAAAAACTCAGAAAAATGGCAACTTTTGATGTCCACATTCAAGGATTTACAATTGCTGTAGCATTTCTGTCGTAAAGAAATGGCCAAAAATTAAAGATTAAGTGGACATTTGAATTGATTGTGGTTTAGCCAAACGAGGATTAGATCGCACAGTGACATGTAAAAATGATCGTCGGGCCACTGGTGCCCTCTGTAGGCTTTTGATATAATGCGTATTGTACATTATATTGTTTATAATAGATTAAGTTTTGTTCAACAGAACCATATTGTTACTTGCTAATTATTATGGCCTCATTGCTATTATATATGAATTTTAGGTTATTTTAAAGGCTATTGTTTGATTAGGCCTATTTTTCTACCATAAAAATAAATTATCCGATTAATTATCAGAACAATCAACCGATAACTCTGTTACCAAATTTATCGTTAGTGACGGCCTTAGATAAGGGGTCTATGTCCGCACCTGGCAGGATCTGTGCTCAGATGTTGTGAGCCACTGGAGGTGGCTCCGAGGCAACAGCATTTGGTGGGACGGGCAGTGATGTTGTAATGAAAAGAGAATATAAGAATATAAGAAGTAAAGAGCTGTGAGGGAGAGAAGCAGGAGCCGCGATTGTCAGCGGAGGCAGCCTCACGCTTAATATCGGCCTCTGGGGTTTGAGGTGGGAAACTGAGAGAAGCGTGAGAGAAAAAATGGTGGAAAAGAAAGAGATGTGATGGTCTGTGTTGCGAGTGGAGGCAGCCTTACGCTAGCGTTTGCTACAGGAGCTGGAGGCCACTGAAAAGAAAAATGGTTATTAGTAGCATGAGGGAGCGGAAGAGATGTGTGGGCATGTGTTGCAAATGGAGGCAGCCTCACGGGAAGGGGGTGGGGTTTGTGACATCCTGAAGAACCTGTGTACAGTGTTGCCAACTTAGCAACTTTATCGCTAGATTTAGCGACTTTTCAGACCCCCCGGCGACTAGCGACAAATCTAGCGGCTTCTTGGACAAACCTTAGCGAGTCTCTGTGACTCGCCGGTATTGCTGCACGAGCGCGAGGTCTTGCTTTCCCAGCGCACACACCTTTCTCTCTCTCTCTGTGTCTGCTCTGTTCAGCGAGCGGCTGAGAGGATCAGCGCTTTCAGTTAAAACAGATATTATGTTGCTTCTCTAATTTTACATGCAAATATAGCCAAAAACACAGCACAGGAATTGTCTTTGTCTTGGCTTATTTTATGTGTATTTGATTTCATCAGACGACGGCTTGATTATAAATCAGATTTCACATTTTTGTGCAGATTAACATTTTGGAAGGGAGAGCTGGTTATGTAGTCTTAAAGGGCCGTATTTCAGTCGGTATTTCATATTTATCCCGTTGAATGACAACAGAAACAGTAAATTATATAAATGAAAACAGTTTTATTGAGAATTTGTCTAAATTAAAATACAGTATGTGAGCACAGAGAGACAAACAAATGTAAAAGGGTCATTCCTAGTATTCGGTGCCATTTGAGTCCCCATGACATAATGTGCTATATTTTGCGTAAAAATGGGTTAATACTTGTTTCTGAATGCTAATCTTACAAAGTTACTGCCCCTCTACAATCAAACACAATAAATATGTGCTTAAAAATGAATGAATTAAAAATAATTACTCTTATTTTAGTGCAAGTAGGCTAAAATGACATGTCCCCAAGTAAGCTTGCATAACTTCAGCCACAAATGTAAGTAATAAAAATCAAACAAATTCCAATTTTTTCAATATTGTTGTATATTCTTATTTATAATATTCCTCCACAAATATATATTTTTGTTATTTATACATTTTTAATGCTTAAAGTCTTTAAAAGATGTTGTGTCCCTGAATTGAATGTCCCCCCCTGTTACTCTGTTGAAAAGTCCCTCTGAACACGGCCCTTGAATGTTTCTCTAATAACACGATTCTCAGGAAGTATAATACTTTTTGGTGGCAAACTATCTACAAGAAGCAGAGTAATTAACAATCTTTAATTCACCCTTTTTTCAGTGTTTTATAATGATTCACTGATGTGGTAAAGCATAACATGTCCACTCTGTTATGCTTATTTCTAATGGAAAATTTTTTGTAATTTTGAAAATATGGTTAATAAGCAGGTTAAAAATCTTCCTCTGTGATCACTACGCACTAGCTTGTTGTTTATTACATGAGTAGCAATAGCTGACTTTAGCATAAAATATCCCTCCTGTTACTGTCCACCCTGTTACTGTTTTGCACTGTAACAGGGTGGACATATTGTAACATTTGATGTAA